CACAAATTTCGACTGCTGCGGCGTCTCTGGTCTGCTTTGATGTAAGAGTAGTCCTCAGGGACCCAGCATCTACTCATCATAGCTACTCTGAAACTTAGGGGGAAACAGGAAGCCGAGGGGAAAAGGCAGCCGTCTAGCTGTGGGAGAAGCCATCAATGCATCTCAGGAGCAGCTCGGGAAGGACAAACCACCAAACCAGGATGGTGGCCCATGGATGTTAAGAGAAACTGCTATGACAAGCAGTAAACCATCCCGACATGGCCAGTTGTTGAGGATACCATAACATTATCATCAACATAAATGTCAGAAACCAAACTATTAGACCATCTTGAAAATCAATTACATTTTCCTCCAAGTAGTTTTTCCCTCTCTTGGAATTTGAGAAATCAAGAATTACTTTCACCAACCAATAAAAGTCTGTTCAGGGTTCTGAATATAGCCATGAGACAGGACAAAATGTGATCAAACATTTACTGAGTAGATATAAGTGCATGTTCTTGCTGACATCCAGTTTTAATTGTATTTGAAAACTTGACTCATAAACTAAATGATTTGATAACATAATGTTATATTTGTTTAAATTTACTCATCTAGGATCCAGCCCTATCTTTCCCAGAAATACATACACATGCCAAATGTTTCCAGAGAAATAAACACTTGAGTGTGTGCACAGACGCACATGCAGAAACCTCTTCCTGTTTTCAAAGCGTTTGGAAACTCAATCAAAGACACAAGGTTTAGGATTTACATCTGTGCCCTTTTATGTCTGTGGCCTCACAGGAAAGAACCATCTTAGCCCAGCTGCAGCGAAGAGCTCACAACAAGGCCCAGCCTTCATGCTCCCGCATGCAGCACAACTGAAAACAAAATCCGCAATTCAGACACTTAGGTCGAAAGGCACTTCTTACAGGCATTAAGATATGGCCTGTGAACATCAGAGGCTCTCCTTGACAAAGAACTGAAGAAGGGCCTGTTATGTGCATGCTGTGACGGAGGCACACACAAAAGAAAAAAATCTGCAAGTTTACTGTTGGCTTAAGAGCCTACATACACAGTATAGATCCACATCAGGTCTTTGTCTGAAAAATATGAATATTGATTTGAAATGTGCTCTAAATACACTGCTGACATTTATGCCAGTTTATGCATGCTCCTAAAATACTTGAAGAGGAAATGAAAATCATAAGAGGGAAGTGGCTCAGGTTTAAAATATACAGAATCCAGGCCCAAATCTGGCCATGGGAATGGAACAGTCCACCACTATGCGAAGGCTTGTTGGCTTTTCTCATTTACAGACAGTCCAAGCCCTCTGACTATACAGATGATCATTGTCATAAATGACATGAACATTATAACAGCTAAAATAAAACAAGCAGACACTGAGACAGAAACAACCTACAACAAAAACAACTTACCGGACTACCTAACATTTCAACTTCAGTAAATGTTGCAAACAGAGAGAATCTGAGGAAAACTGAATATAAAGACATTTTAATTTGCACAGTATGCATATATCTTAGACCTACACCAAAATCTAAATAAAAAATGAGGAGATGAGTAGCAACCAATCATGTAAAACGCAGTTGCAAGTGTCCTCACACATGTTGTCAAATAACACACTACATTTGCCTCTGTAAACCACTCAAGTAACAACTAACACTTCCCCAAAATAATACAGAAGCAAAACCAAACATATGTTCAGCTCAGCAGACTTTTTCAAAGGTAAGAAGTGCCTCTAGCTGAGACTAGGCCAGCTAGTAAAGCTTAAGGTTCATGGAGGTCATATCCAACAACTGGCAGTAACCCCAAATAATACTATCTATAAAAAGGTCCAGGAAATTATTTAGCTTAACATAAGGGCCACAGGATATAGGCAATTACCCAGGCCATAAAGCACTAGCCCTAACAGCTGAAGTAGCTGTCTCCCTTTGTCGTTTCAGGACATGATGGGGGTTGTTTGGGAGGAATGTGTTTGGAAAGCCCTGCAACAGGAATGGGTGTGCAAAACAGCCCACAGGTGATAAGATCGCGACACCCACATTGGCAGATAAAACGCTGAGCTGTCAAATCAATCACACAGATAGGAAGAGGACAGAGAGGGAGAGGAATCACTGAGGATCACCTGACTGGCAACAGACAATACCTTAGTGCTACGGGAATCTAAAACAATGAGGACAGGACATACCTTATACCTGTTCAGCAGAGTATAGAGGCAACTGACCTTTGATGATAAAAATGGATGGGGGACTGAATCATTTTAGCAAAAATCTGCCTGTAGACCTAGCCTGACTAAAATCTACATTAAATATGAGGGAGGACAAAGAGGAACCTCTAGTTGTCTTATGTTAGCCTTTTTCCCCCTGCAACAAAACAAAACAAAACACTTGAGTTGTGAGTTGTCACACAAATCAGCAAAACAGGAGATTCAAGGTGTAAAAAAAGAACACACTATTGCTATGCTGACTATGTAAAAAGCGTATGTACAGTCACAGATAAAGGATATACACCTCAACAGGCTGTTGGCTTGCTTGAGATAAATATCTTAGATAAATGTGGCATTCACACAGAGGCTGCTTGCACATATTTTCATAAATCTCCCACTTCTCCCAGCATGACCATAGCTCTTGTCTACAGGATTCACATTAGCCTTACATCACGCCACACCAGCACACATGCCTGACAAGACTAGAAAACCCAAATCTCACAAGGCTTTTTGCGCGTTCTTCTCATTTCAGCCTTGCGAACATTATTGCACCAAGGCCAAGTAACATGTTCTCAGCAAAGGGTGTGCTGTGTGTACACCAGCTCGGCTTACCACCTATCATTCAGACAAAACCACTTCAGGGCTGTCTCGTCACAAATTTTTGAGAGATTTTCAAATTAAATGTTTAAATGCAAGCTACAGGAGGACAAGCATGTTTTTTTCCCCTTAATTACGGTTGTACATGGTTAGAATACCAGGATTTACACACACATTTTCTATGTACCATAAAAAAGGCAGATTTCCTTTTTTTTAGGATCTAGCAAGTGACTCATCAAAGACGCAAATTTATCAAATCAATGGAGGAGAGCACAATGTCACAGTGTAAAAAGGGACACTACTGTGAAAAACAGATTGATTATTATCCCTGATGTTTAAAAATTCAAATAAAATAGCTAACATTTCTAGTGAATATATGTGTCATTATGAAAAGCATAATAAAGACACTCTCTTGGGCAAAAATAAATGGCTTCGGCTACGCTCAGTATTCTGTTTGCTCCATTACTATGAATCATACAACAGCCAGAAAGGTGGTGGAATCATAGCAACAATGTTTGGATCACTTCGCCATCTTAGCTGCTGCCATCATGCAGCGTGGAACTAACCCAGCATATACTGTAGCTTACACACCAGTGATGATATGTAGCCGTTGGCAGCAGCTCCCAAAGTGGGGCTTCGGGGGCCTTGAGGAGTCCCTGAGGTTATTGCAGGGAGCCACATCAAATCGAGGAATGCTTTGATTTCAACTGTAATTTCTTTCTCTGCAGGTTAACACGACAGACAACGTATTCAAACAAATGAGAGGTTTTACCATCAAACATGTTAGAACACAATTTAAGCTGAATCAAGACCTACAGCAGAAGACGAACAGCGTGTGTACGACTGGTTTAATTGTAATCTAGAAGGAACTCCAAAGCGTATATCACATAAAAAACAGATGTGTAGTTCAAGGACAAAACCTCCATGCATTCAATCAATCAACCTCACAAAGGCGAGATAGATGGAATGGGGAAAAACATGGGTGTGTTTCCAACATTAAAGCATGACACTGTAAATGGCTGAAAGGGGGCATATGACTTCCTCTGTGACAAATACATTATCAAATAAAATCCTCCGAGATGGCGAGGAAACGACGGTTAAACTGCACGCTTATGTAAAAATAAACGGCCAATAGTCGAGCACTGGCGCTTATATGCGATGTATTGTGCGGCAAATACAGAAAATCATTGTGTGATCGTCGGTGCAATGCGAAACAGTGTACAGTGCTGTGAATGGGCAGGCAGGTACTTTATGAATGGAGGGGATCATGTGACCGCAGCACCTCCCGAAGCAGATATTTCTCACTGACTGTCAACAAGCGCACACAAGGGATCAGCCCATTAAAACAATACCAAAACGCGACTGGAAACGGACGCGACGTGCACAAAAACACAACTTGCACACATTACAATCGGTGTGTGTGCGTTGCGGGGATCCGGGCGTGAATGCGACGCCGTTTTTAAGCGTTTTTTTTATGAATGGAGATTGTGATATGTAAATGAGCGTGATTGAGAAAAAAAAATGGCATCTTCGGCTTTTCAATGCCGCAATAAGCACGAAGAGCTTTCATTAAAGACGGGCCCGGATTGAAATATAAACATGAATCTGCTGGTTTTAATCGATGATTTATGTTCAGAAATCATGGCGGACAGCAGTTACACACGGATCTGGGTTGTCAATATAATGCGCTATCTGATCATGATGTACTGAACAGGCATGCATATAAAATTATATTTAGACTGGATCGGTGCTGTCTAAGTGTCCACTCCGAGGCACGTATAACTACCAATCTGTAACAGCAATAATAAACATCCTGGCCATGTAATTTAGCAGCCGACTGAATCCTACACAGGCAAACATTAGCACACCGCAGTCCAAAATGAATTCTCACATTATATATGTTAGTTAGCTATATTATAAGAGCAAAAGGGCGATTTACTATAGACGTATGCCTACCAAGAAGTGCTCTTTTTAATCTTATAACACAGTGGTTTTCATTAGCCCATGAACGCATACAAACCCAAACTAGCCTTATTGTTGATATTAAAGCGAGATGATGAAATAGCAGCGTTGCACGGTTAGAAATGTCACTGGGAGCTGTGGCTGCTCAGCCTGTGTTTCATATCTACACATACGCGAGTGGTTATTACAGAAAGGTACATGGAAAAGGTGGAAATGCATAAATGTAAACAACACTCACTCGTTGTTTGGATTTGTTGAATCTTCACTCATTTTTTTCCTCACGGGGATCCAAATCCTAGCAATAGCATCGACGACGCAGTGACGGCGGGATAAAATACCACGAATATCACCATTTTCCTTCACATGCAGAAATTACCCCCCTATTTTGGATATTAAGTAAAGGCTGTACAAGGGGGCATGCCTGGCTAAAGCGTCCCTGTGGGGGGAAAACCAAAGTGAAGCTAGCTTAACGTTAGCTCTGCTGCCTGGGACAAATGTTAAATCGCGAGGAGGAATGACAACCGTTGATTCATTTTATCCTCCCTGGAAGTAAAATCCGACCACAACAAATGGGCCATCGGCATCATCCTCTTCGACAAACGCAGGTCCCCGCTCTTGCAAAGAAAAGAAAAACAGATATAGATCCTCAAAAACTGTAGGAATTGTTATAGACTGGAACGTTTGGCAGGTTATTTATGGCTGGCTGTCGAGCATCCATTCGCCAACTTCAGGTCCAGGACAACACTTGAAAAAGCGCCGTGCAGCGTTGCTCCGTCAACGTGTCCGAGTAATTTGCAGTAAAGGCATCCAAAAGCCCACAAAAAGGGGTTCAGCTGTTTTTAATATGAATACTGACGCGTGAAGTAAAAACGTACGGACTTGAAATTTCCTTGAGAAGTTGGTGGACATCTGCTCTAAACGAACTCCATTTTCAACTCGGGGGGAATGAAACATCGGAAAACTGGGCGGATGTGTCGACCCTCGCTTGAGAAAATTAGATCCTTCCGCGACGTAGTAAAAACATAACCCTCTTGCGATGAAATAAGCTCACCCAGCGCGTAACTTGTGATATTTAGAAAACGAATAGCGTATATAGGACGGAAGTGCGCTCCTCCGTAGCCGAATTCGGCGAATTTAAATGGGTTCTTTCCAAAGTTGACCTAAAGTAGTCCCCGCACTTCCCAAAAGAAGTTTCCCTTCAATCACGCATTGATACAAGAGGGAAGCGTCTGTGTGATAGCACGCAAACTAGAAAATAATCTGGAGGAAGGATTTGGGCTGACACACGCAGACACACTCAACCATTAACAATTTCTCTTTCTGCCTTTCATTAAGCAGTTTTAATGCGATTGAGACACTTCTTCTTCTTCTTCTTCTTAAAAAAAATAAATAAATCCTGATGCAAATTGTGGGGCAGTGCAGTAGATGTACACAGCCAAGACTGCTGCAGCACGTGGAATTACATCAGACCCCCTTCACGATTTATGTGCCCAAAGCCAAGGTAGTATTTCAATCTCAGAGTGTTACTTATTTATTATTGTTTAGTGATATAACATTCAGGCATAAAGTGAAAGTGCAATAAAGAATATTAGTGTATTTTCTAAAATATGGGATGGCAGTGTGATATTGGTAATGGTCTTAAAAAAATAAATAAGAGGCATAAAATTGCCACATTAAAAAAAAAGGGGGGGTATTGCCTACAGATTTAGAGGACTAAAATACATGCTAATGTCTCTAGTTAAAGCTGCCCCACCTTGCACCCCAAAAACTCTTTCCAAGCAGCTGGAGCACCTTTCAAAATGAAACAATCTACGAAGTTGCCAGAAAAAGAAAGAAAGAAAGAAAGAAAGAAAAAAAAAAGGTCTATGAATCTTATTTGCAAATGTGTTAAAAAGCCTTGCAGTGTGAATCGGTGGCCTGGTTGCGTAAGACTTAAATGCTATTGGATTTCTGTGCTGTGTGGAAAGGCAAGAGATCAGGCTAAATGATTCTGCCTGGTTGTCATAGTGACAGCATGTTGTGTGAGAAGTTTCTTTGTATTTCTCTGGCTTTCATACAGCTTGTGCCACAGCCTTATGTTGCAGCCATATAAAACACCCCTCTGTGTCACTGTATGTAGACAGCCCATGCATGCACGACACTCACGTGTGCAGCCTTGACACATATTGTAGACCTCATTTGGCATTTCATTATATTTTCTGTCTGAGGTGTGCACTGCAATGCTAGTGACCGCCTCACAGCGAAGGTGAATCGTCCCATAGAGTTGTTTTCTCAACAAAAAATACTGATGTCAGCCTGGTATGCATGTTATGTGCACTTATTTACACAAGCAAGCTGCAAAAAGGCTGACATTGGCTAATCAACTTATAGTAGACTGTCTTCATCTTTTGCGGTCACTTGAATTTGCAAGTGTCATGATACAGCAAACAATTCCAAATTAAGTTTCCCTTATTTCATAGAGCAGAAAAAAATAACATGACCATGGCCTTTTCCCACTAGCATGCCTTTATCCTTTAGAGTATTTAGAGTTCAGGAAGTCAGCCTTCTTTCTCATCTCACAAATGTGGATGACCCTAGTGCATTTCCTGTGTTTTTCACACACTGGGCGCCACACAGTGTGTCGTATGAGGCAACAGGATGTTTAGCTAACAAAGGCATCCCTTCACTTTACTCACTAAGGGCAATCAGAGTCGTCACAATTGTCTTACATTCCTGTATTGCCAGCACAAGCTCAACACAAACCTCATTCACCGAACTTGGCTGAATCAATTGGCAGATCACAATAGCCTGACATGACTTATTTTATGTCATGTTTCTTTAATTTTATGTGACTGCAGCACTGATACGAACTGCTTGTCAAACTTTGCTGAATATATCCATTCAGAATGCAAGGAACTACACAATAAGAGGCTAAGAGAAAAGGTCACGCATTATCTGTTTGTACTAATGTCCTGTCAGACCATCAAATAACTCAGCTTTTCCAGAACTGCGTATATTGTCCGTAATTTAAAAAATGCAAGGGTTTGTTACTGACAATAAATGCCGCACATGCAGACCTAGAAAAACCAGAAGCAGATTCAGTCGCGTTATTGTGAGAAAAAAATCAAGAAAAACAGGAAAGAATCTGCAGCACTGATCTCACCAGATACAACTCAAGTCACAGACCATTGAAATAGGATCAACAAACACGGGTATGAAGGGAGAATAACACAGTGGAAACTGGTTATAAGCTAAAAACAGCATTACATTGTCAGAAGAACATGCACAGAGAAACACTAGCCTTTTGAGATGTGTGTTATTTTGGATGAGCCCAAATTCAACCTGTACGGATCTGATGGTGTCCAAATACATTATTGTTTTCATTTACACTGTATACTTCATAGTTTAATACCTATTTCTGGAATGTACTGCTTGATAAATGTGCTTATGCTTTCCTTTTTGAGAATGAATACAAAATGCTTCAATTTTTTTTTAATGAAATGTAAAATAAAATTATGCAAGTGTGGCTTTAGTGTTAAAAATACTTTTTATGGACACTGTAGCATGAGCGATTAATTTCTAGTTTAGGGCTATAATAACTGGAATCAGATGATGACCTCAAAACACAGGTGATGTGATCACCAGCTCCCAGCAGCATAGGAAACCTCTGGTCACAAGAGAGTAGAAGTGAATGCCTCTCTTTGTACAGTAAGTATGGGAAGGCCTATGTAGTTGCCACCATACAGTCTGCAGAAACCCTGGGGGCATCAAGAAAGAAGGACCGAAGATGGCTGATGACAGTTTATCGTAAGTAAACTACTCTGAGGCTCATCTGCCCTGTATTTGTTGTACTTCCCTCTTTTCTTTTCAAAAAATCACTTCGTTATTTTCACCTGCGTTTAGCTGACTAAAACATTTGTTGGTGTGCGGTAAAGTGTGGTTTCTCCCTGACTCTTCAAAAGAAAAAAACAACAAAAAAATAATAACACCAGTAGAGTTTGGAGAAAGGATCCTCTCTGGTTTATCTGCAAGACTCATCGGAAGACGACAGTGGACTCCTAGCAATCCGGGCCAAGAGGTGTGGCTTAAACAAGAGGTGCTGATTTTTAAAGGCCTGGCAGCTGAACACAACAATGCATACCTATGATTAGTGTGGGCCTGGCTTCGGAAGCCTGCAACTTTTAGGCAAGCTAATTGCAGGGTGGTGAGTAGAAAAGGTGTAGTGGCTAGAGGGGAAGGAAGTGTGAGGGCCTTCAGGCATGTTTGATCTGCTGTGAACTAGCTGTCTCGCTTTCTTTCTCTCTTTCTGACTGTGAATGCATGTGACCAGCACGGAACTGAAGATGCAAACATTTATTATGCTGCTTTACTGTCCTCAGAATACTCATGTTTTTTTTAAAAACAGCATCGAGAGACATCCATCTCTCTTGAAAGAGAATTGAATGTAGATGCGTGTCAAGCTTAGTCGGTCTTGTGACCATACACAAGGATGCTGGTTCAGATGGAAGGTCATGATGGCTGCAAAGCCCTTGAGAGAAACACATCTCCAGAACTGCCTGTACATTGACAACATTTGAAGCATGCAAACATTCAAAACCCACACTGTGTTTTGTAGAGTGTTTGTTTCATAGTTTTTCAAGTTTTGAGGCTCAGGCAGTGATTCACGTTGGTTGAGATTTACTATTTGTTTAAAACCATGCTTGATTACAGTTAACACTCAAGATCTGCTCTACGGTAAATTTGTGGCAATCGCTAATGTCTCAACTACAAAAACGGGAAACTAAATTGGTTTCAGCCACAGTTGGCTTTTTGGGTGCTTGAGACTCTGTTACTTCCTATTGTTTGTATGTTGTGCGTGGGCTTGATTGAAACCTGATCTAGCTGGGGAAGCTGTGTTTAGGGTGAGGTGGACAGGCCTTTGTTACTGCCTGAGGGGTGTTTATTTGGGCGGCTTCAGTTGGCTTCCCTGTAATCATCATCCAGCCCCACAGGATAGAAGGGATTAATGAATATGTTGGAGGGGAAGTTACAGATGACTATTTACCATTCTCATGGGGATGAGAAGGAACAGCACAAGAGGCAGAAGAAGAAGTTTGGGCACGTGCATTCATGTGGGTGCGTGTGTACGTGTATGTATTTAAGAAAAAAAAAGACACAGGAAGGAGGGTTAGACAAGCAGATTTTGCTCTGCTTTATTCTCTTATTGTTACAACAAACATAAAGAAATAGTTTGGGAAACATTCATTATTTTACAGCGGGGGGGTTAAATGAAAAGCTTGATACCGCTCTTTATGTTAAATACAAAACTAGCAGCACCAGCCAATTAGCATAGCACAAAGACTGAAAGCAGATTAAAAAAAGAAACTTTAGACAAATAACCTCTTGTAAAACCACAACATGATGTTTTTACATTTTGGTTGTGAAGCTTTAGAGCTGTAACTTCACCTTTTGGCTTTAGTGGTGCTACAAGGTTGATTTTGATTTAGTTTCGTCTTCCAGCAAAAACGTATTAATAACGTATTCAATTCTGAGATGGGAGTCCATTGGTTTTAATCAAAACTGCTCAGTGGCACATTTGCAAAAACAACTCCAAGCTTCCCCCATGAATTACCAGATTGTTCCACACACTTGTGCAGTTTTGGGCCCATAGAACATGTACATTAGTTTTTCTTTCGGTTGAGCTGGTAAAGAACATGTGCAGTGGAGACTGGCTAAGACAGCAGACCTCCTTAGATACACAGGTGGAACATGATGAAATAGTTATTGGAGCAACTGGATTTAGTTATGATAATAAAAAAGCCATTTTGTAGGGTTTGTAATGCAAAGGAAAAACTCCATCCATCTGCTATACCTGCTTTATCCTGTTGAGGGTCACGGGGGTCCGGAGCCTATCCCAGCTGGCATGGGCCAAGAGGTAGCGCACATCCTGGACAGGTTCCCGTCACAGAAAGACAGGCAACCATGCACACTCACGTACACAGGACCAATTTAGAACCACCAGTTCATTCATGAATGTTGAGGAAAACGTTCAAACTCTACACAGAGAAGCCAGAAACGACCAGGACATTCAAACCCAGGACCTCCAAGCTATGAGGCAGCAATGCTAGCTAC